TCCTGGGACTCACTCTGTAGACCAGGCTGGCCTCGATCTCACAGAGATCCTCCTGCCTCTGCCTCCCGAGTGCTGGGATTAAAGGCGTGCACCACCAACGCCCGGCAAGGAGTAAAGCAATTTTTAAACAGTTAAAAAACAAGCTGCAAAGGCATATGGATCTCTTTGAAATTGTGGATAGTCTGGTCTGCTACAGACTAACTGAGACTACATAGTGAAAAATACTATCTCAAAAAGAGTAGGAGTGGACTAGCGAGATGGCTCAAGGAAGACCCTGGTTCAAGTCCCATAACCCACATGCCAGCTCATAAGGGCCTATTAATCTCTAGTTCCAGGAGTTCTGATGCCCTTTTCTGGCCTCTGTGCATGGTGCACATATACATGCAGAAAAAACATTAATACACATAAAAATAAAAAGTAGGAAGTAAAATTGTTTTGAAGCTTGCATGTTTTTTTGCTTTCTTTTTTTCAATTCTAGGTTAAACATTGGATTCGACAGGAAGTCTACATGATAAATTGTAATCTATTTGATAAAAAACTGAATGAACTGAATGAACGCATTGGAAAGACCCAGTGCAAGAATAAGCATGAAGCAATAGCTGGTGAACTCTTCGTAAGTTTCTTCCTTTTATGTGTGGAATGTGGTCATACTCTGTATGTATGTTGGGAACAGGAGGTAATAAAACAGTGATTCTCAACCTTCCCAATGCTTCGATCCTTTAATCCAGTTCCTCATGTTGTAGTGACCCCCAACCATAAAATTACTTTTGTTGCTACTTCATAACTGTAATTTTGCTACTGTTATGAGTCACACTATATATGTCTGATGTGCAGGATATCTGAGATAGGATCCCCACTTAAGAACTGCTGCAATAAAAGAAGACCTACTAGTTTAATTTAAGGCTTGAGAAATAACCTTGGTCCTAGGAGGCATTCTGTATCTGATGGTTATCTGTAGTATGCACACATTTTCTTTTCATTTTGATCTATGACTTATTAGATCTTTCAAGTTCTCTGCCTTTCTTTTTTTTTTTTAAGGGTTACTGTCTGTCTTTTTTTAAACCAACATCACTTTTATTGCAGCCTTCTTTCTTGCTGCTTTTTTTTTTTTTTTTTTTTGAGGTTGGCTCTGGGTATTTGTAGTCTAGGTTGGCTTTGAACTCTATATCCTTTTCCTTTAAAGTCCTCTTAAGTTGGGAATTGGAACCATGAACCATCCAAACAAGCCCCTTCCATTCTTAACTACCTTTAAGTGGCTGACTGCCTCATTTATCAGTTTTCCACATTTTGAGTTCTTTGTCTTTATGTAACTAACTTCAGACTGATTTTTCTTTTGTTGTTGATTTGGGGTCTCATTACATAGCCTCAACCATCAGACTGTCCTGGAATTCACTACATAGATTTCTGCTGCCACTGCCTCCTGAATGCTGAAATTAAAGGCATGCGTCACCACAGACAGACTGAAAATATTCGGGGTGGGGGAATGTTTCTATTGAATGTGTACCATCTTTTTTTATTTTGTTTTGGTCTTTTGAGACAGGGTTTCTCTGTATTGTTTTGAAGGCTGTCCTGGAACTCGCTCTGTAGACCAGGCTGGCCTCGAACTCACAGAGACCCTCCTGCCTCTGCCTCCCAAGTGCTGGGATTAAAGGCTTGTGCCACCGACGCCCAGCCATGTACCATCTTTTTATATGATCATTATTCCCTGAACAGTATATTATAACAAGTATGTAACCGCATTCCCATTGTATTAGACCTTGTAAGTAATCTAAAGATAATTTAAAGTGTACAAGAGAATGTGTGTATGTTTTTAATGTGTGTTGATTTTCATATCTATAGGACCTGGGTCCATTCCTCCATGGATAGCAAGCATTGACTGTGTAAGAGTTTATCACTGGGGGCTGGTGATGTATCTAAATTGGTGTGCTGGCCTAGCTAGCAATAAGTTCTGAGTTTGATCCCATCTTTACACAGCATGCATAAACAGGACATACTGGTGTACAACTCCATTACCCAGAGATTGAGGCAGGAAAGCTAGGAATTCAAGGACATTCTTGTTAAGGCCAGCCTGAAATACATCAGATCATACCTCTAAATAAATAAGTAAATTTAAAAAGTAAAGTTGCTAATAAAGGGAATGAAAGAATAGAAGGCATTCCCTGCTGGAAGTTATCAGGGCCTGGGATCATGATGAAAAAGAAATGAAGGAAAAGAAGACCTTTTCATCTATTTGAGCATATGCTTACATTTCATAAGACTACATGTTCAAATAGTTTTCATTCTTCTTTTGTAGTATTTAGTATCCTGGTGTGATACCTAAGTTTTCTTTCTTCTAGGTGAAAATTAGAAGACTACAAAGACGTATCAAAACAGTATTATCATCTCAAGGAGATTGTTTGGAACCAAAAACATTACCCAGTAATACAGTCTGTAAGGTTGGTATAAACACACAGAAGTGATCTACTTGACTTGTTGGATCATAAGATGTGAACAAGGACAGAAGGCTTAGATAATAATGGTAGTTTCTTCAGTTTTTAAAGTTAAATGTGAAAATACAGAAGTGATACTGAAGGAGGGACTATAACAAAATGAAGCCAGGGCTTGATCTGGGAAATCCTTGGCATATCCAGAGTACAGCTCTAAAATTAGGTTCATGGCCAGAAAATAGCTCTGGGATACATACAAGGATACATTCAGCTACTACCTTTTGCTAGTCTTTGTAAGGACCCAAAGGTCATGGTATTTGCCACGTTGTATCCTGACTTCCTCAGAGCTGTAGCTTCAATAATAATTTACTTTCATGGCTTTTGTGTGCTCTTTTGCTTGGCTTTGTTCTTTGGGCTCCCCACTGTTACCTGTTGGTCCCTGCAGGTACTTCCTAAAGGCCCACTCTTGTTGGTCTGTGCTTTTAGTCACTGAGTGGATTAGGTCTGTAGAGCTGAGTGCTGTTGCTAGTCTATGTCCTGATGATGGCCTACATGTGGGAAGAGGGCAATATTGCCTTTGAAGTACATTTGGCTGACTGCTTTTCTGGGTTGTAGTTCTGGGGATTGGTCTGTAGTCAGGCTCTCCTTGCTATTGTTGCTGCAACCAGCTAGACTTCCTCTGGCCCAGTGTTCACTCAGCTGCTACTGTGGTTTATGAAATGTAACCTTTAATTCTTCTGGTATTGGAGTTGAGTCACCACCAACCACTACTACATATTTGGAATGAGGGATGGAAAGATGTCTGGTGTCCTTACAATCCAGTGTGATGTATGGAGTATACTCACTGTGGTTATGAGGTTTTTAGCCAGTCTCCCCTTCATTAAATTTTTCACTTGCTTATGAATTATTTACGTGGCTATAATGATGTAGTAAAGAGTGAAGAGGGAGAAAGTGAATCCATGTTACCTTGTCTTGGAAGTAAAAGGAACTCTGTTCTACTTTGCTTCCCAATGGTATGTGAACATAATTCACATGTAAAATCGATTTACTTAGTATAATAGCACTTCAGAATTCTGCTTTTGTGTGTGTGTGTCTGTGTGTCTGTCTGTCTGTCTGTCTTTCTCTGCCTTATTTTTCATGCCACCTCTTACAAAAAGCTATGCTCATTCTCAATTGAGGCATGAAGTCAATCCTTTTATTCCAAATAAATTAACAACTGGAAGTTAATTTATCTTACTTTTTTAAACTTGAACTACTAGAAATAAGATGCTGTCTAAGTATCTCAGTATTTGTTTGTCCTGTTTTCAAAGTCTTAGGTTTGTAATGACATTGTTGTTTTCCTTGACTCATTTTGGCAGAGAAGTCACCTTTATGGTCATCAGCCATTGAAGTACAGAACACTTAATATTTTAACTTACATATGCAAGATTCTTCCATGTGAAATTTTGCCTTCCATTCATCTGCTTTTTCCTCATCCATATAACAGGTTACAGATGCAGAGGCCATGAATTCGAGTGTGACCCAAAAGTCAGTTAAAAGCCTAAGTAAAAGAATGCCTTCTGTGAACCCTAATCCTTTTAATAAGTCTTCAGAAAAAGCAAGTACAAGGGTTAATTTGTCATCAGCTTGTGTTGAGTTTGTTTCTGAAAGGTAGGTATTTCTATAAAATGCGCAGTTATTTATCTTAGTTATATTAGTGAAATGTAAAGTAGCTTAAAATTTCATATTCACATCAGAGGTCTGAAGGAATTCAGTTGGTTCTCTGAGCTTCCATTACTGTATGAACAGCACTCAGGTTTGGAATTGTGAGGTAACTGGATTTTGTTGTGCTGCTTCCCACTTTTGTCATATGATGAGTGGATCACTTGTGGTGCTCTCCATTTTGAAAGTTCATCTAACTGGGATGAAATTACTTGTTTAATTGTATCATAAAGCACTGGTCTGTAGAAGAGTGTTTTTTACAAGCACAGAAGCATGCTTAATAGTTTTTGGCTTAGATCAGTGCTGTTCCAAAGGGGGTAGTGGAACATACTGATAATCTTCGTTTTTATGTCTTTGGCCTAAGTATTTGGGACTTAACATACAGTTTTGACTCTTTAGGAGCTATGCTAGTAACCCATACTATTTAGCCCTGCATTTTCATTAATCCTTATTGTTTTTAATTTTATGTGTATATTTATGTATCTGTATGCAATTATGTGCACATAAATGCAGTTCAGCAGAGTGTCAGATCTGCATGGAGCTGGAGTTCCAAGTAGTGGTGAGCTTCCCAACATGGGTGTTAGGAACCAAACTCAGGTTTTCCAGTCCCTGTTTTTAAGATGCATTTTTATTAATTATGTGTAGAGCCTGCATTTTGGTGTTAAGTGGGGGAATCTATGAAAAGGGCATTTCGATGATGAAGGCAGGTGTCATTAATCAGTGAGTCTGCTGCTACCGCTGTTGACAGCATGTTCTGAAACACTTGAAGTGACAGAAAAGTGCTGCTGATGCATGTAAAGAAGCAGAGGCTTTGCTGTACTGTCACTTCACAGGCAACTGTGCATGTCCACTCAATAGCGGATCCTGTCTATGTAGACACTCACTTTGGTTTGCATGCTGAAACAACCTGCAGTTTATGTAGCTGTTTCTGACAGTTACACATCCTTTTCCAAAGTGTGCAGTTAGTATAACGAACATGTAACTTGGCCATGATGACTTGTGTGTTTCCTTGTTCATTTTTTGAGACAGCTCTCTATAGGCTGGCTACCTTGGAATTTGCTGTGTAAATTGGGCTACCCTCTTGCTTCTGCCTCTGGAGTTCTAGGATTTAAGGCATGTACCACTATATCTCACCTTAGAAGATGAGTTTTAGAAAACATTTAAGGAAGAAATGATACAAACATTAAACTCTTTCCAGAGGATATGAAAATAAGGAAGCTTCTTAAATTCATTTTATGAGAAATGAACCTTGATGCTAAAATCAGTGTTAAAATATTGCATAAATGAAGAATTATCCACAAAATAGATTCATATATCCTAAACAAAATTCCAATAGATCAAATAGGAACAATTTGTAAAAGTAATAGTTCTGGTCAAACCTTTGGCTCAAGGAAGCTTGAGTAACCTCCTCATGAGAGACCCTGAGCCAGGATCCCTTAACTGTACTACTCTTTACTTCTGTACCTACAGAAATAAGGATATGTTTTGTTTAAAGGCAATTGTTATATAGCCTTAGATGAGTAATACAACACTCAGGCATCAGGAATTGAGCAGAATGAAGTTTATCTATAGTCCTTATAAGATACACCTAATCTTTTATTTCCTGCTATTCTTATGACACACCTCTAAGTTTCACTTAAACTCCCAAGTGTATCCTGTAGCCCCCCCCCCCCAGATGTTTTATTGTGATTTGCATGCCAATCCACTGTGATTTCTGAGCACATTCTGTTTGTTTCTTAGCATTCCTGCATGACAAATCAAATGCCTTGTGATGGGCATCAGAGCCTTATCACTGCACCCTCTTCTCAGGGCCTTGGCCCTTCAGGTTTTCATTATCTTAGCAACATTGTATATCATCAAATATATTTTTGTTAATTGTCTGAGTTGAAATGTTTTTAAATATAGCCTTTTAATTTGCTTGATTGAGGGTCCCAACATAATTCTACATATCAATTTATCTTTTAAATTATATTTTAAAAGATAACCCTAAATTATCTTAGGTTATCTTTTAAAGATACACAAAAAAAGGAAAAGTGTGCCCCACAGTACTGTGCTGCCACTAGAGAAAGCCAGAGGTTTCTAATTGTTTTTGTTTCTGATAACCCGGAATTAGAAAAATTAGTTCTATTATTATTTTTCTGTGCCTCTTAGTAACTAGATTTAGCTTAAGCATTTTATGTTTAGAATGTGAATAATGTGAAGAAACTTGGAAATGGAATAATAACCGAGCTAAAGAAGCTCATAGGCTTATAGGCCAAAATGCATATACCTTTAAGAAATATGGGCCTGGCGGTGGTGGCGCATACTTAATCCCAGACTCAGGAGGCAGAGGCAGATGAATCTGTGAGTTCAAAGCCAACCTGGTCTACAGAGTATATTCCAGAACAGCCAGAAATACACAGAGAAACCCTGTCTCAAAAAACAAACAAAAAAGTCTAGGATGAAAATTAAGCATAAACATTACTCATTATCACATTACTCATCCTTTTTTTAAAAATTAAAGCAGCTTGCTAATTTTGATTAACAAAATGCTAGTGTTACTCAAAGAAGTACATCTTGCTTTATAATGCATGTGCAGACATTTCTGTGGAAATAGACTGGTTTGGAGGGCCAGGCATAGTGGCACTTGCCTTTTAATCCTAGCCAGGGTTACAGAGACCCCATTTTTAAAACAAAACAGCATGGTGCTCATTTAGGAGCCAATGAAATGGCCCCTTAAGTAAAAACATGCTTGGCTTAAAGCCTGATAATCTGTGTTTGATTTTTGGAGCCCACATGAAGGTGGAAGGAGAGATCCCATTTTACAGAGTTGGCCCTTTGACCTATATGCACACCGTGGCATTCACATGCAAGCATATACACTCACACAATAATAATAAAACTTGGGACTAGAGAGATGGTTCATCAGGTAAGAGCACTTGCTAATTTTTCAGAGAACCTGAATTCAGTTTTCAGTACCAACATGTGTAGTTAAAATTTTTCTTTGGGCCGTCAACCAGCTCTCAAATAAAGACACTGAAACTTATAGTTATAAATGTTTGACCTTAGCTTAGATTGGTCCCACTAGCTATTTTAACTTAATTTGACCTGTTTTTTTAGGGCTTTTAACCTTTCCTTCATTCTGTATGTCCTACTTTCCTGCTTCCTCTGTGTCTGGCTATCTAGCCCTTGGAGTATCCCTGTCTTCTCCTTTTCTTCCTCAAGCCTAAATTCCTCCTCCTCCTTGCTTTTTCTCTGCCTGGAAGTTCTACCTACAAACCTCCTCCCTCATTTTTTTTTGCTGTTCAGCTTTTTATTAGACCAATCTTCCCTCTTTTTTTGCTGTTCAGATTTTTACTAGACCAATCAGGTGCCTTAGGCAAGCAAGGTAAAACAGCAGCACATTTTTACATGATTAAACAAATGCAATACATCTTTACATAGTTAAACATATGCAACATATCTTTGCATACTTAAATACTCTACAACATACATGATATCTTACAAATATCTGTAACTCCAATTTTAGGAATTCCCTCTTCTGCCATTCACAGGCACCCTCAGTACATACATGCAGGCAAGACACACAAACACACAAAGATCTTCAGATCTTTATCAACCCCACATCTGACAGAGGACTGATCTCCAAAATATACAAAGAACTCAAGAAATTAGGAATCAAACTACCAAATAATCAAAATTTTAAAATGGGGTACTAATGCCAGATGAGCCGAGTATTTTTCCACCGCCGAACTGCAACAGGGTACAGATCTAAATAGAGAATTCTCAACAGTACAATCTCAAATGGCAGAAAGACTCTTAATGCTCAACATCCTTAGTCATCAGGGAAATACAAATCAAAACCACTCTGAGATTCCATCTGACTACAATCAGAATGGCTAAAATAAAAAACACCAGTGACAGTTTATGCTGGAGAGAAAGTGGAACAAGGGGAACACTCCTGTTGTTGGTGGGAGTGCAAACTTGTACAGCCGCTGTGAAAATCAGTATGGCAATTTCTCAGAAAATCAGGGATCAACCTACCTCAAGCCCCTGCAATACCACTGTTGGGCATATACCTGAAGGAAGCACATTCACACCACAAGGATATTTGCCCAGCTATGTTCATAACAACATTATTTGTAATAGCCAGATCTTGGAAACAGCCTAGATGCCTCTCAACTGAAGAATGAATGAAGAAAATGTGATATAGTTACACAATGGAGTACGACTCAGCAGTAAGAAACCATAATATCCTAAAATTCACAGGCAAATAGACAGAACTAGAAAAAAAAATCCTAAGTGAGGTAACCCAAAACCAGAAAAACAAATATAGTATGTACTCACTCATAAGTGGATACCAGACATAAACCAGAAGATACCCAGCCTACAATCCATAACCCCAGAGAAACTTAAACCCTTTTCCACAAACAGGTGGAAGCAGATGCAGAAATCCACAACTTAACAATGGGCCAACCCTCTGGAGTACAATCAAAGTAAGGGAGGAACAAAGATATGAACAGAGGAGTCAAGACCATGAAGGGGAAACCCAAAGAATTAGCTAACCTGAGTTAGTGAGAGATAACTGACTCAGGTCTGACAAATGGGGAACCTGCATAACACCAAACTAGACTCCCTTAATATGTGTGAAATGGTGGGAGTGGGACAATATATGAGGCCACTAGCAGTGGAGTGGGTTCGAGACCTAAGACTAATGTACAAACTGACTTAATGGAGCCCATTCTATATGGAGAGATAGCTTGCCCAGCCTAGACACAGGAGTGTGGGGGTGGAGAGATGCCTTGGTCCTGCCTCAACTAGATGATGGGACAGACTTAGTAGATCTCCTAGGGGGGCCTTACCCCCTCTGTGGAGCAGATGGGAGGAGGGGGAGGTGGAGGGGGGGACTGGGATTGGAATGTAAAAAATAAATTTAAAGAATGTTAAAAACTTTTAAAAAGCGTAAAACTAAAAAAACACTAATTTAAACGCAGTTCTCTTTGTTTATCCATTCCCTTCCCATCTTGCTGTGAATGGAACCAAGGACCTTGATTATGCTAGCCAAGTACTCTACCACCTAGCTACATCTCCAGCCCTTATTTAATCTCTATAAAATTTATACCCGTTTTATAGACAAAGAAACCAAAGTATACTAGTAAATGGCAAGTGAAGATTGATATCCAGACATTTAGTCTCTAGAACTGATGTTCTTATCTACCATATAGTAACATTTCCTGGAGAAATTATTGATTTTTTTCCTCTGGTAAAATATAGATAGAAAACATTCAACACATTCACACTACCATGAAAACCATCAGGTTACCCTGTTTTCCTTCCAGCTATGACCCATGCACAAAATCCTATCATTAGTAGCAATCAATAGCACTGCTTCAGCCAGGTGTTGGTGGCACACGCCTTTAATCCTAGCACTCGGGAGGCAGAGGCAGGTGGATCTCTGAGTTCGAGGCCAGCCTGGTCTACAGAGTGAGTTCCAGGACAGCCTCCAAAACAATACAGAGAAACCCTGTCTCAAAAAACCAAAAAATAAATAAATAAATAAATAGTACCGCTTCATAAAGGTTACATGTCACTGTTTTATTACATCTTTTCATGTGTTTGTGTTTTGTACATGTGTTATGATTTCCATCGCTGTGAAGAGACACCATGACCATGGCAACTCTTATAAAGGCAATGTATTTAATTAGGGTGGCTTATATTTTCAGAGGTTTAGTTCATTATAATGGTGCAACATGGTGGCATACAGATAGACATGGTGCTGGAAAAATAGCTGAGAGTCCTACATCTTGTCTTGCAGGCAAGTCTGAGGAAGTTGTCTGAGACACTGGGCGTGGCTTGAGCATATATGAGACCTCAAAGCCAGGCTCTAAAGTAACAACACTTCCTTTAACAAGACCACACCTACTCCAACAAGGCCACACCTTCTAATAGTCCCATTTCCCTTTGGGGGTCATTTTCTTTCAAACCACCACAGAGGACAACTTTCAGGAATTAGTTTTATTTTGCCTTCATGTGTCCCAGGGGATAGAATGTCATCAGGCCTGGTGACAAATGCTTTTGTCTACTGGTATCTCACTGGCCCAAGTTACATATCATTAAGTGAATGCTAGCAAAATTAACAAGAATTTCCAATTCTCATAAAATAAACCATTTAGAAATACCAGGGGTTGTTTAGCATGGTGGTACATACCTACAGTCAAGGAATGGAAGCAGGAAGGTAGAATCATAGTCACATACAATTCCAAGCTAGCCTGGGCTACCTCATTGGTCAGTGGTGCTTTTACGCCATGTCTGCCGATCACCAGTCTTACCATTGCTACTGTAACTTAAGCAATCACTAATGGTATTCCAGCACTATGAACTGCTTTTGCTTGTTTCTTGAATTTGTACACATAGGATTGTACTCAAGAAGTGATTTGTCTGTTTATACTTTTGTAGTGCAGAATCCATGGATGCTGTTATTAGCTGCAATGGTTAATGATGAATTATGTCTTTGTACCAGTAGACTATGATTAATCCATTTAGTTCGCAAGAATATGCATTGGTTGCAGGTTGGGGGAAGTAAATATATGTAGAACACTATAGACTTCCAGAATTAGACAAGGATGGGTAAAATATTTTTGGTTTTATATATAATGCACATGGGAAAATTTTTCTTTTAGACAAGGTCTCACTGTATAGCCCTGGTTGAGCTGGAACTTGTTAGATAGGCCCCTGCCTCCTGAGTGCTAGGGTTAAAGGTTAGCACCCATGTAATTTAAAACAATACTATTTTACAGTACAATCATTGAACATAAGGGGTAAACCAAAATACTTGTAAACCCTAACTAGACCACAAAGTAATTCCAAATTATAGGAGACCTAAATAAATGATGCCATATTCATGACTTAGAAAGATGTTTAAATTGATATATATGTTTGATGCACTCTCTGATTTTTCAAGATAGGGTTTCAAGATTGCTGTCCTGGAACTCACTCTGTAGACCAGGCTGGTTTCAAACTCACAGAGATCCTCCTGCCTCTACCTCCCAAATGCTGGGATTAAAGGCGTGTACCACCATTGCCTGGCTCTATTTAATATAATATTTAAAAGATTGTGTCATATACTTTGTAGAAAGGGGCAAACTGATTAAAACTTGTGAAAATAAGAAAGCCTAATTACTAAATAATGATATTAGAACACAGAAATAAGGTTGATTGATTCACTTCCTGTATTTAGAACTTGCTACTGCTATAGTAATTAATTAGGACAGGGGTTCCAAGGAGAGGTACATAGGTCAGTGTGCAAGCTAGCATGTACCTATGGAGTCCCATGGTTTATAAGAAGAAAATGCCATGGTAATTCATAGAGAAAAGATTTTCTTTAAAAAAAAAAGTTGCTTAGAATAAATGGAGGGAGAAAATGGTGTTTGCCTGTACTCTCAGGATTTCAAGACCATTCTTAGCTATGTAATGAGACAAACCCAGACTACACATAAGATCCTGGCTCAATAATAATAATAATTTTTAAAAGGTAAGCCTTCCTTTTTCCTTTTTCCTTTTTTTTCCTTGAGACAGGGTTTCTCTGTAGCACTGGCTGTCTGGGAACGCACTCTATAGACCAGGCTAGCCTCGAATTCAGGTCCACCTTCTGCCTCTTCAGTGTTGTGATAAAAGGCATGCACCACCATGCCTCAGCTCTTTCTATATAAAATTTAAATCAAAGTGAATCCTGAATATAGATACTAAAAATGTAAGAAATCTCATAAAATGGCATAATTTCGAGTTATGGAAAACAATCTAGCATTTTAATGCACTTTGTACATTTTCTTAACAAAACTCTTATACTAAAAAGCCTAGGTCATTAAAGTATGATGAGAACTGACAAAACATGGTCTTTGGGTTTAGAATTAGTGGTAAAATAGTAGTAGCTGTGTTTTTTTATAATTTTTGTTTCTTCCAGTCTGGCCTCCTCAGTGCTGGGATCACAGGGTGTTACATCGTACCCAGCCTCAGAGTCATATATCTTTTGTCAGCGTCCTTATGTGTCTTAATAGTTTTTTGTAAGTTATAAATGTTTTTATAAACAACTATATATATGCATTAAAGTGATATTTGTATATTTCATATGCTTGTATGTTTGACATATTTGTATATTATATTGTAACTATCGTGACTATATCCCTACTAAATTTTATGGATTTCCTTGTACTTTAATTAAAGAAAAAAAAACAAAATATTTATTTTGTTGGTATTGATGTGTGCTATGTCACTTGTGGAGGTCAGAGACACCAGCACATGAGAGTTAGTTCTCTGTTTCCACCATATGGCTTCCAGAGATTGAATTCAAATCACCAAGCTTGGCATCAAGTGCCTTAACCTACTGAGCCATATTGCCAGCCCACCCAGTGCTTGTGAAAATACATGGACTTTGTTAAATATTTGATTTTATCTCTCTTCCCACAGTTGTTCAGTTAAAACATGTTATGAGAGCTGCCCTGATAACTCAGCAAGTGAAAGTGCTTGTTGCCCAGCCTGAGTTGATGCCCCACATCCACATGGTAGAAAGAGAGAATTGATTCTTACAAGGTGTCCTCAGATAAATAGCATAATTAAACAATAAATTAGAGGAATTCTGATCATTAACTGCAGGGTTTTTCTTTTTTACCATTTTAGTAACACTGATGATGTTATGTTCATTTCTGTGGAAAAACCTAATTTGACAACTCCAATTACATCAGATCCAACAGGTATCTTTTATGATCTATCAAATTAGAAAACTTAAAAAGAATGAGCAATGTCTTTTTAAAAGATTTTTATTATTATTTATGTGTATATCTGTGTTTGTGTGAGTGTGGATGCTCTGTGGCCAGAGTGGACACTGATTCACCCTGCAGCTGGAGTTACAGGCAGTTGTGAGCCACCTGATGGGGGGTGCTGGGAACTGAACTCTTGATTCCCTGCAAGAGTAGCAAGTGCCTTTAACACCTGAGCCATTTCTCCAGCCCCATGATCTTTTAATAAAGTACAAAATTGTATACTTAATCTTCTAGTTTATATCTAGGATTATAAACTATTTGTTTATTAAAATGATGATTCACTAATAAAATTGACATTTCTTTCAATATTTGTATCTATCAGCTTAAGGCCTTTTTGTTCTTTACTGTATTGATCTAATGATTTACAACTTAAATCATGTATATCTATTTTGTTTGCCCTGACCTTTTACTTGTGGTAGCAGTAATTTGTCTATATGTCTATTAGTTAATAACCTATTTTAGATTTAAAGTTTCTCTTGATTAACTGTTTAAATTTGTTTTAATTACTTATAGTTTTACAGTTGGGGTCAAATGTTTTGTTTAAAAGAAACAACTTTTTAGATGAGATGGATTGTTTTGTAGCACACAGCTTAAAATATATCTGCTTTTTGTGTATGTGACATCTCATTCATAGGATATGAACACTGTGGAGGTAAGAAAGACCTTGAATTTCTGATTCACTTTCCATGTGCTGTGATTAAAAGCATGTACCACCACACCTGGTTTTGTAAAAAAGTTTTTTCCTAACTTAAATATGGCTATATTTCTTGCCTACAATTTCTTACCCAAAGTTCCCTTTGTAGCTGGGCAGTGGTAGCACATGCCTTTAGTCCCCTCACTAGGGAGGCAGAGTCCAAACCAATCTCTGTAAACTCAAGACCAGAGCAAGTTTCAGGACAGCCAGGGCTACAAAGAGAAAACCCTATCTAAAAAACAAACACACAAACAAAACCCAACAACAAAAAGAATTCCCTTTGTGTCATGTTTTGCTGTGTTGAAATATTTATATCTTAACATCAGAAGGATTTGTACTCCCTCCCACCCTAGATATAAAACTATCATAACAGTTTGCAAATTAAAGAGTTCCAAAGAAGTGAGAAACTCTGCATTCCAGGAATATGCTCCTCAGGCACTCTTAAAGATAATGTGAATAACAAAATGTCACAATTTCAGATGCTAAAATAGTTTCAGACTTGGAGCTACTAGTATAGTTCTAAAGCTGCTGAAAGAAAATATATTTTAATCTGAAATCAAAAGTTTCAACTAGCTTATCAGTTTTAGGGATCTATAAATTTATATGCTATGTTATCATCACTTCATTTGTGTTTCAGCGTCTTTATTGCAAGAACCATGTTTTAATAATTTAATACATTTAATTGGATGTATTCATTTTTTTATTCCAGAAATTGGAAAAAACACATCAAGGAAATTCAGCAACTCACCTAATACCATAATTGAAGTTGAGGTGGGTAACAGTTATTGCTCTGAATATTTCATCTGAACGTTTATGCTATAGAAACTCTAGTTTTTCAGCATGCTGTGGGGACTGAGTTTTGTCATTCACTCTTTGTCTAGGTATCTGAATTGCCCCTTCACTGCCCTTCCTTCAGTGGGAGTGGAGAGTGACACAAAGAAATATAGGAGTAGCTTGCACATCCAGATTCTAGTCCAAGTTACACACTGAACAACAAGCAGCTACATATATTTCAGAACAACACACACTTTACCAAGTCATAGAGGTTCTTATTCATATTTTCAGGTACTGCAGTATCTTATTTGTGAATGTTTTTCATAGTAGAACTAATGAAAACCATAAGTTATTTAGAGAATGTTGAGTCATCAGCTTCTAAGGTTGGGGTTCATTGGTGACACAGTTGTGAGCATGATTTTGAACAAGCCCCAGGTTCATTCCTCAGCATTGAAAAATAAAAATGTGTTTTAATATTTTAAAAATATTTTCTGCTATTACGCTTAGGTTTTTGTGTTTTTTTTTTTTAAACAAAACTTTCAGGCTGTAAAGAAGAAACTTGATTTTGTTATTGACTTGACAAGAGAAGGCCTGTCCACCTACAGCATAGGTAAAGGATACTTTTTACATCTTCCTTTCTAAGAAAATGTGTATGGGTTTGTGTGATTGTATCATAAATTACAGAATTGTCCTGTCATTGCAAGGGTGCCTTCTGCTAATCCTTTAAAAGCACACATATGGTCTATTCTAGTCCCTAAGCCCTGGCAACCATGATTCTGCTTTCTTCTCTATAATTAAGTAATTTCGGTGTGATTATGCAATACCCATCCTTCTGAGATTAGCTCCTTTCAGTGTGGTTCTTTGGCAGGTTATTCATGTTGTTTCTTATCAATAATGTATTCATTTTTGTGGTCAAGTAATAGCCCAGGTTTAGATGTATCATAATCTTTATTCATCCTTTAAAGGATATTTCTCCCTATGGCAAACATTTTTCTTAACCATAGCAATAGTGCCTAAGAGGAAGTACCTAGATTCAGGAATAGAGGAATGTTACACATGATATGAAAATGAAGAATTGCTGTTTTGTCAATATGTGCCAAAAGATTTTCTGGGATTGGAAGCCAATCAGATAGTCTCATTCTGGTACTAGAAGTATAATCCACAATCCAAGAAATTCAGTTAACTTCAAGCAGAATCAAAACCAAGAACACCTTATCAACACATATAATCATTTTCTTGAAAACATGTAAAAAATTACATATTAGCACTGAACTAATACAAAGATGGTTAGCATCGTCTCTGTACAAGGATAGCATGCAAATGTGTGAAGTTTCCATACTTAAAAAATATCTGGACCAAGAAGTTTATGACCAACTGTCTACTTCAGAGCAAGCAAATGTCCTTTACTCTAGGAAGACAACAGAATTGACTGAACACAGAAATTCAGAAAAAGTAGCTAGAATGTACAAAGTCACATCAGATGTTAGTTATCTTTGTATTTATTTGGATTCAGAACTCATTTTGGTGGAAGAAAGACTACTAACCAGCATGATTTGTGAATCTTTGGACTGTACAAAGAAAAACAAACCTAAACACAGATTTTCAAGTTTTCAAGACATAGCCTATAAGGGCAAAAGACACCTCAAGAAAACTTCAAAAGGAATGTAAGATCAGAATGAAAGGGAGTTGGGGGTAGATAACAAAGTCCATCACTGGTGCTGCAAAAAGCAAAGATGATCAAAGATTTTTTCAGTGACTTGATCTGCCATGGTGACATGATATCTAAGGAGAATGTTGTGGGATACAGACCCAAAGACCATTTAGCATGACCCTCCGAACTAAGCATTGTTATTACGCTCACCAAGACTGCCTAGAGATAAACAATTCTCACATAACAGCCTTAAGCAAAGAACATGGAAAAATTACCTCCTGGTTGTCAATTGCAGGGGTAAAGCAAGTAGGCAGTTTAACAGAAGCCAAAACCGTGCAGTTAGCTAGGGCATATCAACCCTGAGTTTGTGGAAAGGGATGAACACTTTCCCACAGGACTACATGGTGGAAGTAGGAAAGAGGTTGGGGGCAACCATTTTAGGCTAGGTCAAAGATAGCTCCAAATGAGACAAGGTGGAGGAACCTTTATCATGGCACATAGAAGACTAATGAACTATAGAAGTTTTAATGAAAAAAAAAGTATTGACCTTGAATTTTTAATTCAGTAAATATTTATTTTAAAAATGAGACAGCCAGGTGGTGGTGCATACCTTTAATCCCAGTACTCGAGAGGCAGAAGCAGGCAGATCTCTGAGTTTGAGGCCATGCTGGTCTACAGAGTAAGTGCTAGGACAGGCTCCAAAACTTCACAAAGAAACTGTTATCTCAAATAAACAAAAACAGTAATGGTGCATACCTGTGATTCTGGTGCTTGAGAGTTGGAGACAAGACGATTAGAAGTTAAGGCCAATCTGGGCACAATGTCTCAAAAACAAAAAGAAGCAAAATTAAGACTTTTCAGATAAGCATAATTTGTTGCCAACTGATTTCCACTACCAGAAATAAAGTGTGTGTGTGTGTGTGTGTGTGTGTGTGTGTGTGTGTGTGTGTGCGCACACACACACATGCACACCTTGAATATTATAGAAGCCAAAAGTTTATCTCAGGAGGTTTTAGACAGTCTCTCACTAAATCTGGAGTTCACCATTTTAGTTAGAATAACTGTCCAGCAAGCCCTGTGAATCTATCTATCTAGCTCCATATCCAAAGTGCTAGGATTACAGATGCTCGTGTCCAGTTTTCATATGAGTGCTCTGCATCCAGACTCTGGTCTTCATGCTTGTATAGCAAACAGTGTAGCCACAGAATCATCTCTCCAGCCCTAAAGGAAGTTCATTAAAGGCAATATAACAACTGAAAAGTGGGTCCATATTAAAAAGTGTTAATAAACAGTTGTGGCAAAAAAATGGAGTTTTCAAGATAGTCATCCAAGAGACTCCACAACAAAACAAAACTGAATCCAAAGTGACCATTACTTTGATGTAAATAAGGAAATACAATCTAAGATAGCAACTGTAGAACCGGAAACCACCCTTACTACTAATCCCCCACCTGCGGAAGAGGAAAAACCAGAATCTAATCAGGAGGTTGCCAACCCAGAGCACTATATCAAACACCCTCTACAGAACAGGTGGGCACTCTGGTTTTTTAAAAATGATAAAAGCAAAACTTGGCAAGCAAACCTTCGATTGATCTTTAAGTTTGATACTGTTGAAGACTTTTGGGCTTTATACAACCATATCCAGTTGTCTAGTAATTTAATGCCTGGCTGTGACTACTCACTTTTTAAGGATGATGTTGAGCGTATGTGGGAAGATGAGAAGAACAAACAGGGAGGACGATGGCTAATTACACTGAATAAACAGCAGAGACTAAGTGATCTCGATCTCTTTTGGCTAGAGACAATGCTGTGCCTTATTGGAGAATCTTTTGATGACTAAAGTGATGATGTATGTGGAGCTGTTGTTAATGTTGGAGCTAAAGGTGATAAAATAGCAATATGGACGACTGAATGTGAAAACAGAGACGCAGTCACACACATAGGGAGGGTATACAAGGAAAGGTTAGGACTTCCTCCAAAGATAGTGATTATCAGTCCCACGCAGATACAGCTACAAAAAGCGGCTCCACCACTAAAAATAGGTTTGTTGTTTAAGAAGACACCTGAGTATTCTCACAGGAGACTGCATCACGCAATCGAGACTGGGAGCTGAACCAAAGCCTCGTCCAAGCAGAGTGGACTGCACTGAAGTTTGATTCCATCTAAATGTTGCTAAGATATAAGAGAAGTCTCATTCGCCTTTGTCTTGTACCTCTGTGTTCATTTCTTGCCCCCACCCCCAATATTTGCTAGTATGTCCACTATCCCAATCAAAGAATTACAGTATCCATCACTGCAGATGTTTTCCTGGCCCGCACTGTAACAGCTGGTTAGAATTACCATGATACACACATTTGCCTTTCCACAGTATTCGATAAAGAACTTGCATTTCTGTTACCTTAACAGGAAAAGACCTGTTTCTGTTCCACTCCATGCAGGAGCGTGATTTGCTGGTGAGAGTCTGAGTACAGTTTTCTAGCAACCTGGTTTCCTTTCCCAGCATTCTTCTTGCTGTCCTCTTGCTGGTGGCTGCTAGAGTTTAATTTATTTGCTTCCCTCCTAGATAACATTAGTGATTCTGATTTCAGTTTTTCATTTGTTTTGTTTTTGTTTTTTTCCTCATGTAACATTGGTGAAGGATCCAGGAATATGACAGAAAGGTGGAATAAACATTAAATTTGTGCATTCTTTGATAATTTTTTGGTTTTTTGTAACTACAAAGCTTTGCTACAAATTTATGCATTTCATTCAAATCAGTGATCTGTTTGACCCCTAAATATAATTGTGGACTATAAAAATGTAACACCGTAATTACATTCCTACCTAGAATTAGTATGTCTGTTTTTGTATCTTTATGCTGTACTTTATACTTTGTATTACTTAGGGTATTTGCTTTGGTTACAAATGGCTCACATAGAAAAGCGGTCCCATCCATATTAAGACAGTGTACAAAACTGTAAATAAAATGTGCACAGTGAATTGTCTTTTAGACAAAAAAAAAGTGAGCAAAAGAAATGTCTTAAGTAGCGTTCTCATTGGGGAAAGTAAAGACACAATGAGATTTATGGCATATTGATAGAATAACCAAACTAAACTGAAGGTGTGATATTGGTGAGGGCGTGTATCAACTTGGGATTCTTTGTTACTAAAAATGCAAAAATGGCCAAACAATTTGGCAGTTTCTTAAAATATTACTTATAATCTCATTGTATGAATGGACTGGTCTTTTCCATATATTTCTCCAAGAGAAAAGAAGACCCACATCCAAACAGACTTGATTTGACAGGATCTTATTAAGTAGCTAATATGCCCCTTAACTTGTAGTTTTACCTCAGTTTCCCAAATGCAAGGATTGTAGATATGTGTACCACCACATCCAGCTACATACAGTAGAAACATTTCTCATAATAGCTTTATTTAAAAGTCTACCAGCTGATGAATATAGAGATTACTTATCTATATGCCTTAACAATCAAGAAACAAAATGTTTATATATGCAACCAATGTATAACTACACATAAATAATCCTGCAAAGCAATCTTGCATTTTTATGATTCAGTATAGGTGAAATTCTAGAAAAGGCAAATCCTTTTTCAATGCTAAATATTGATCTTTTGGCCATGCATGTTAGTCAGGTCACTGAGATACATCTATTCTAAATTTGTTTATCTGGCTCTTGTCTGTCTGTCTGTCTGTTTGGTTTTGTTTTTTGAGTTTCTCTGTAGTCCTGGTTGTCCTGGAACTGCTGACCTCAAACTCAGAGATCCTTTGGTCTGAGATTAAAGGCATGTGCCACCACCACAGAAACTATCTACAGTCATTAGTGACAACAAATGATTTATTTCATATAAGATAGGTTGATTGAAAAAGAATACTAAAGAACTGTGGGTAAACTGGCCTTAATAGTGCATGCCTGTAGAAGTAGAACAAGAGGATCAGGAATTCAAGACCAGCCTGTG